GAGAAGCCATTTGCTGGACCAGGTGCCCAGTCTGTCCAGGTCTCTTTGAATCCTGCCTGGTCCTCATCAGATTTAATTCTCCTCATTAATTTCCCAAAATATTCCCAAAACAGGGAAACTTCTGAGTCTAACCCTTCCGTCATGTCGTTCACATAAAACCAAAAAATAGCACGGGGTCCTGGGACCGACCCCTGGGGGACCCCCCCTCGCCCCACAGGTCCCCACTGTGATACATCATTACGTACCATAATCGTTGTTGCCCCCCTGTCGGGTTTTCCCTTTTGTTTCCATTCCCGTGCCCTTCCTGTTATAGGGCCCCGGGATTTCTAGCTTTTGCATAATCTCTTTTTTGAGGAACTGTGTAAAAGGGCCTTCTTGCAGTCCAAGAAGATGAATAAAACCCCCCCCTTTTCTCTTTTGTTTTAAACTTCTGTTTTTTATCAAAAAAACCCCAAAAGGGTTTTGCCAGGATTTCCCTTTTCCGTGAATCCGTGCGGGTTGGGCCCTTTTTATACCCCTGTTCCGTTCCAGGTGCTCCACCATTTCCCCTCCTGAAAATCTTCTCCATAATTTTCCCTTTTACAAATTACACGTCAATGCCCAAGGGTCTATAGTTTGTCCCCCTCTTTTTTTTTGTCCCCTTTTTTTTGAAAATGGGAACTACTTTTGGCTGTCTTCCATACCTCATAGTTGCCCATTTTTCCGGGGAGGTGTTAAAGAGTGGAAAGTGGACGCCAACATTCGGGTTTCCCTCTCAAAGGAAACCCATGGAGAGATTTTGGGCCCGGTCCCATTCCCTTTGGGGGAACGTTGTCCCTTAGAAGTTTCTTCACCTCCTCCTCTTCGTAATGTATGTCGTCCAACATTTGGGTTGGTGTTTTTCCCCTTGTGTGTGTGTGTGTGTGTGTGGGTTTTGGTGTGGTGTGTGTGTGTGTTTTGGTGTTGTGTGTGTGTTTTTGGAGTTGGGGTTTTGGTGTGTGTGAAATGAGTTTGTGTGTTGTGAAATGAGTGTTTTTTTTGGGGGTGTGAATGAGTGTTTTGTGCGTTGTGTTTTTTGAGTTTGTTTTGTGTGTGTGTGTGTGTGTGTGTTGTTTGTGTTTGTGTGTGTGTTTATTTTTGTGTGTGTGTAAAATTTTTTGTATGTGGGGGTGTGTTGTGTGTGTGTGAGAGAGAGAGAGATCACAATAACTTTTCACCAATAACTCACTACAGTTTTGCCCCCGGGTGTGGAAGGTGAATTGCTCATTATCTAAAATTTTTTTATAAATTGCAGCCATGTATAAAGGGTAAGTAACCTTTCTTACGAAATTCTTTACCTTTGAAACCCTTGTGAGTTTAATTTCCTTTGTAACTTGTGGTTCATTACCTTGTACCTTGTTTAGCCCTCAAAACTTTGGAGCCCCGGGCCCTGGACCCATTGTGTACCTCGTAATCTGTAAAACCTTTGTAACTTGTCATGAATTTTGGGCTTTGACCTACCCGGAGTTCATTACCTTTGTTAAAATTTTAGTTCATTAAACCCTTTTTAAATTGTGAATTCCCTTTCCCCTGTAAAAATTTCCCCAGCTATCAAAACTTTGAGGCCCCGTCCCCGGGGCCCATTTTGTAACCCCCTGAATTTTTTTGACTACCCCCCGCGGTGGGTATTTGGGGGGCATAATAAACATTTTTAAACAAACAACTAAACTAATAAGATTTTTTTTTTGAATTTGTCTTTCAATTTTTTTTTATTTCATGCAGTTCATTTTTTTATTTTTTCATTTTGTTTTAAATTTTTTGGGTTTTTTTTTTGAAGTTGCTTTTTTTCTTTTTGTTTTAATACATATTTTTTTTAGCTTTTTTGAATTTTCTTTTCAACCCCTAAAACAGACCGATAGCTCTTTAAATTTCCCCTATTTTAAAAAATTTTTGGGAAGGGGTTTCAAAAACAAGACCCCCCCCCCATTAGATCCCCATTAATTACACAACCCGGGGCAACAGGGGTTTGGGAAAAGGTCGCTCCTTCTGTCCCAGCTACTGACCCTACGACAACCCCGGGGATGCACATAATAAAACAAAATGCAGATTAATAAAACCAAAATTTCCCAAAAACCCCTTGACAAGTGGCCGTGTAATACGCCAAAATGGTGATAAAGGAATAACAAAAAAGTCGTAATGGTTTAAATTTGCTAACAAAAAAAGACAAATAGTATCAACAGGAAAGTCTAGGCTACGTGAAAACCTCTGTTCCACAAGGCACAGTACTCGCCCCCATTTGTTCCCATCCTTTTTCAGAATAACGGGGATATAAGCCACAGCACAGTATCACCTTTTAATGACCCCGAATCTCTGACGTGCCCTCTATTGCAGACATGAAAATTTCCCAGGGGGACATCAACCAATCTTTAAAGGGGCCCCCCAAAAAACAAATAAAGTTCAACGTGGGGAAATTTCCCCAATTTACTCCGCATGGTAACATGGGAAAAAAAATTTCATCACTTTAAAACAAATTCCACCAACAAAAAGGCAAAAACTAACGTCAAAGACGGGGAGTGATATGTCGGAGTCCACCTTCAAGGACCATAACATTAAAATCAATCGCACACTAGAAAATGGCAGGATGTTAAGGGAGAAAACCTTAAAAAACGGGGATGCCAAGCCCATGATGACACTCTGCAGTACTTGTTCTATCAGGCTGAAATTGCTGCCACTAACAACCTTTCAAGGCAGGTAAAAATTGCTGACCTAGAAAATGTACAAAAAACCCTTCACCGCCCCAAAAAACTTTGCGAAAAACCACTTGTTTACTGGAACTTTTTAAGTTCCTGAACCTGTACTCCTAAAACGCAGGCGGGAAGATACATATTAATACACTAAAAAATTCAAAAGGACTAAAAAAACTTGCACCAAAAAAATCACTCGCAAACGAAAGCAAAAAACTGGGCACACAAACATCCCCCAATAAAAATCGGGGTGTCACACACGAAAAGACACAACACAATAATGTCAGGGACCCAAGCTGTTCAATTGCCTCCCACAACACCCGGGGGATTACCAAAAACCCCCCTGGTTTTCTTTAACAGGCACGGGCCAAACCCCCAAATCGGTCCCTGACCACCGATTTTGGGGCTTATGTTGGTTTATTTTGGGCCCCACATAACAGCCGGTTGCGGGCCCGATGCACCATGGGGCCTTACAGACCGGCTGCGGGGGCGTTGACCCCCCCGGAACCTCCCCAGGAAACACAAATGTTTTGGAGTAATCCCCAAAAAAAGTTCCCCGAACACTGCCTATAGGGTTTGGGGGTTAGGAAATTCGGGGATACCTCACTCGGTTATTGTTAATTGGGATATTGTCGAAGACAGGTCATTCAGGTGTTAATTTGAAACCTCGCTGGTGAGGAAAGAAGGGGGGCGGGTTCACACCTGTACAGGTGTGAGGAGAGCCTATCTCAGGTGCAATTCCTTGATTTCGGAGTAATTTGGTGGCATCCAGGACTCTCCCTTGTTCGTTTACGGTGTCCAGAGTTTACTTGGAGGGTTTCGGGGGTCAAAGCCCGAGCGGCTCTGTCTGAGAGCAGGCCTCATGGTGGATCAAGGTCTGATCAACCAGGCTGTTACTGCTGGCCGCACACAAATTGACGTACGAACCACAGCCCGGTTGGTCAGGTACTGACTTTAGGTGCCCCGTCCCTTCGTCTTAAAACGCCAGGGGTTTATTGGTAATCCCCCCCTTTTGTATCTGGGGGGCAAGAAATCTTTATCCCCGGGCCTTATTGTGTTGTCTCTTTAAAATACCCCCTGACACCCCGCTTTTATCAGGGGAAAGTTACATTCCCCGCCCGGGCTTTTTTTTTCAAAGGGAGTGATTTTCAGGTCAGGTTTTTATACCAATCCCTCCCGGGCCTTCCAAGTTATATTTCAGTATCTCTTGCTGCTTTTTGGGGAAAACAATCAAGGGCCTTAAACCCTTCCCCGTAATTTAGGTGCCTTATCGTACTTATGTGGCCCTGAAAATTTTTTGTACACCTCCAAGTCTGCAATGTCGCCACCTTTAAAAGGCGTTTTGTACGCATATTCCAACCCAGAAGCACAAACGATTTTAAGATCACAGGCTTGGCGTCCCTAGTTTTTTAAGGTTCTTTTTTCCCTATCATTTTCGTAGTAAGAGGTAGATACATTGTTGTATCTTTGAAGGCATCCCCTGACGTTATCATCCCCGGGCCTTCACATTTCTTTTTTTCTCTATTGATGGGTTTGAATTTGTCGTATTCCCCCGATACATTTTTAAATTTTCCCAAATTTCCATATTTAGTGTTGAACTTTCCCTCCCGAACTTCATATTTTTTGAGAGGTCATTTGAAGATTTTTTTTATGTCCATTGGGTCTCACATGTCTTCGATGGAGGTCCTGCCAGGTAACCGGTGTCATCCGCAAAGGGAAACACGGAGCTTTGGTTTACTTCTCATGTCCGAAATAAGGAACTTTGTAATTTGTTCTGATTTAAACCATGTATAGGAGTGATATGATTCATTTCCTTGAAAAATTTACATTACGTGACCAGACTACCTGGGGTTCTTACTTTGTAACAGTTCAGCAATATAAATTTGGGGTCCACCCCGGATCATTAGGTACCCTTAATCTTTTAACTGCGCCCCCAGGATGGGTTGGGGTTTCAAAATAAAAATATTAAAAAAAAAAAGGATAGAATGGGAGCGAGTACGTCCTTGTGGCCCCAAACTTTTCCCCCCGTGGGGCCTGGGACTTTCCAGTTTCTATTATCTTTGTGTCATGTGTCAGGGAAATTAAAATCCATCTACAATTTTCCTGTTATTCCCTTTTCACCACTTTTGTGCTATTCACCATGGTCACTTTGTCGAAAGCTTTTGCAAAGTTTGTGTAAATACATCTTATTTTATTTTTCCTCAAAACCCTCCAGGACCTTGCTTGCTGAGTGGTCTACAGGAACGACCCGCTCTAAACCGGTTACCCTGGGTTGTGTAATTGATGGGTATTTAGGTGGTTGGCGATCTTACTTCTTAGATTTTTATGATATGGGATGTTAGCGCTATCGGTCTGTAGCTCTTTGCAATTGCTTTACTGCCACCTTTGTGGATTTTTTAGATTTTGCCACCGAAGTGGCTAGTTTATTGTGCATCCCATATCCATCCTGTGGACGGTAGTTCAAGAGCATATGGATACACAAAAGGCCTAGGAACTAGGCCCCAAAAGGGTTAACAGGTGTAAATATGGATTTATATCTACATATCTGCAGTTCACTTATCTGTTACAAGCAAATTTAGGAAATTTGCTTAGTATATCTGGCATCTTATTTTCATTAATAAGATATCTTGACATGTCACATAGGTTATTATACTGTCTGTCTCTGTATTCCTCAATAAGTGGACAATTAAGCACATAGTGTTCAAGACAGTGACCATATGCCTGATCACATAATTTACATTTAGTTTGATCATCATCTGTGTGTCTCCCAAACTGCCAGAAGTACTTGTAACCAAGCCTAAGCCTGGCCACTACAACATCAGTCAGTTTGTTCAAATTGCACGTTGCTCCATAAACATATTTATCTACGTTCATGTTATCATAGTGGGTTATAGATCTACTCAGGCTTCTAACTGCATTTCTATAACACTCATTTCCATTATTTACTTATCTCCTAATATTATTCCTAATGCTAGACACAGATATACCAAAGTTATATTGTACATTCTCCTTCTGGTTACTCTTCTTGGCTAACACATCAACTTTATCATGAAGGAGTAATCCAATGTGTGATGGGATCCATAGCAATTGTACATTAATTCCTTTGTCCCGGATTTCTGATTATCTATACCTGGCTTCTCCAATGAGCATGTTGTTGGAGTCATTATATGAGTCAAGAGCCTTCAATGATGACATAGAATCAGTAATGATGATAGAGTCAAGCTCAGTGTCGTAAGTTAGCTTTAGCGCCATTAGGATTGCAAACAATTCAATTTGCAGTGTAGACGACCCAGTTGTTAATTCTTATGCCTAGTTCAACAAGTTTGTTATCGTTCTTAAGTAGGAAGGCGGCAACAAGAGCAGATGCAGCCTTGCTAGAAGATTCCTGTTTAGATCCACACCTTTGTGGAGTGGGGCTATTTCTGTTGTTTTTACTGTGTGTAGGATGACCCCTGCGTCCATGCTCCCTCTCCATAAAATGCTGAAGGTACACGATAGGGGCTTCTTGCAATTCTTGATGAACACGGAGTTCCATGAATCTGGGCCTGGGGCAGAGTGCATGGGCATGTCATTTATTGCCTTTTCAAAGTCTTGTGGAGTTAGGATAATATCCGAGATTTTTGAGATAACCAAATTTTGGGTTTCGTTCATAAAGAATTCATTTGGATTGTCGACCCTTAGTCTGGGTTGCGCCTCGCTGAACACTGAGCCGTATTGGGACTTTAATATCTCACTCATTTCTTTGCTGTCATCTGTGTATGTCCCATCACGCCTAAGCAGGGGACCAATACTGGATGCTGTTTTTCCCTTAGATTTGGCATAAGAGAAGAAGTATTTTGTTTGTTTTTTTCAATTTCCTTTATGACTTTTAGTTCTTCCTGTGAGTTTTGTCTCCTGAAAGATTCCTTCAGCTTAAATTTGATATTTGCAATTTCATTGACCAGTTCCTCCCTTCGTATTTCAGATATATTGGCCCCACTCAGCAGCTCCATGACTCTTCGCCTTCATCTGTATAGGGAGCGTCTCTCTCTTTCTAGTTTACATCTTCTCTTTTTTTTATGGAATGTGTCTTGAGCAGATCTCAAGAACCACAGAGTTCATTTTTTCTAGGCAAATGTTCGGATCCGTGTTGTTTAGGATATCTTCCCAGCTTGTTGCATTCAGGACATGGTTTACTTGATCCCATTGTATGTTTTTATTAAAATTGAATTTAGTGAAGAGACCTTCATGACTGATCAAAATTTGCTGGTCAGAGTGGAGGACGTTCCTGTACAGCTTGTATTCGTGATTGTTTTTTCACTGTCATTTACTAAAAAATAATGTATTTTTGTATTGTAAAGGAAAGCTTTGCCTGTAAATATCAGACCTTCATGTTGATTTTTAACTAGTGTCTCATTGCTTAACAGCCAAACATGTGAAACCGATATAATGATGGTATAGGTCTCACTTGGGTCGAGTTGAACCGGTCGCTTAAACTGGCAAACAAGACCTCTCCATGACCCCTTGCCGATTACCTCTTTCTTGGAATTCTTCACATTTATAAAACCATCATCAAGGCTTGAAATACACGGAGAAGAAATCTTCATTAAAAATATTGGTTCTGATGTTTTAAACGTGTCAAATATTTGACAGGTTATTTTGTCGTAATATACAGCAAAAGATCAGGGTCTTTTGCCAATTTGTGATCATTAAAGAGGACAGATGTTGATAAAACTTTCCGTGGTTTTGTTGCAAGATACCCTACAAAGTTTGGCAGAGGAATGGAAAATGCACCTTCAAGCCACTGCAGAATAGCCACCCCTTCAGCTTCAGAAATAACACCAGAGGGCAACACATCCTTTATAAAATCTTTAGAGGTCATTGAAAGGAACCTCACCAGGGGAAGGAACTCCCTCACTACCTGACGCAGCTTCGGCAAGAGAGATTCCTCTCCTAAACATTTCTTTCTTCCCTGAGGGTTATCAGAGACCTCGGCTGCTACTCCCTCCTCACTTACTGCCTTACCATCACTTCCAGGTTCCGCCTCTGGAGGCTCCACTGAACTAGTTTCCTCGCTTCTAGTTAACTGCGCTAAGCCCCTGTGTTGGTAGAGAAGAAAATGCATGCACAGCACTTTAGTAAAAACTGATTTTGGAGAACTGCAGAGAAACGTTATTATATGAAAGAAATCAATATTGGCCGGAACAATATACAAATAACCCGCAAGAGCTTAGTTTTGATGATGATGATGATAATAATAATAATAATAATAATAATAATAATAATAATAATAATAATAATAAATGCTTGTCTCTTAAGTGCGGGTTATTTATGGATAATTACAAGAAAATTACTTAAAATTAGCTTCCTTATTGACACAAATCTTAACAACACTGCTGTAACTTATGGCTCTTAACAATTTCTTATTTCAAGCAGTTTAATCCAGTCCCAGTTATAGTATCATGTTTCTCTAACATAAAATCGTTATGGAAAACTTCCTAATAACATTATATAAGTATATATAATTTATATATTCGTATAAGTTTACTTAACTATACATAGATTTTTATACATGACGCGTTAGCCTGCTATTCTATTTTCAATTGCAGAGCTGTTTGACCCTGGTGGGTTTAGCGCTTGGTTTTGATTATAATAATAATCTATTTTCAACTAAGCCTTATGTGAGTATTTTATTTAATACCTGTTAGTCAAATTTATTAAATAAATGTATCCTTAAACATTAAATTTTCATTTTAATTACAATATAAGAACATCTGCTGGCGTTTCTATCTTAATGGAACGATATATTTTACTTTTGTAATAAACTTGATAAACAATTCATGGAATTTGTGGATGATTACAAAAAAAAGGCAAAATGAGACAATAACATCTCTCTAAAAGGGTTACTCTTCCTTACGCATTTTTTCGTCAGTGCGATGGAATTATTATTACTACGCTGAAAGCTAAGCGATACACCCACAAAGGAAATGCAATAGATACGCATCCAAAACTGAACAGTATATGTGGAAAGGCCAGTATAGCTTGCGCTACTCAGTTTTGAAATCCATCTTTAAATCGCATTTGCAAAAAAAATCAGCAACAGAAATAGGTTACCAAGTCACGAGGGCAGAGACCACTTGTCCTTCCGAAGACACATTAAGCATGGGGTGACTGACGAGTCTCTTCAGTGTTGACGACCTTAGATGACCGATGTTCCTCGATGCCAACACTGCCTCAGAAGACGTCGCCAGCACCTGTAGTAAATTTCTAATTAACTTTCACATATATTTCTGCAGATCGTCTTAAAGATCTAATGTTTTATATATATATATAATATATATATATATATATATATATATATATATATATATATATATATTATATATATATATTATATATATATAATATATATATATATATATATATATATATATATGTCGTGCCGAATAGGCAGAACTTGCGATCTTGGCTTAAATAGCAACGCTCATCTTGCCATATAGGACAAGTGAAAATTTGTGTATGCAATAATTTCGCCAAAATCATTCTGAACCTAATGAAAAAAATATATTTGATTGTGTTTGTTTAGCACTAAATTATTGTAAACGTATTTAAAATATATTTAGTTGGGTTAAGCTAAAATAAATTGCTCTTGTTATAATAAGGTTAGGTAAGTTTTCTAAGATTCTTTTGGTGCAAAATTAAAAATTTTTGCATTAACATTAAAGAAAAAATATATCTTTAAACTTATAAGAGAAAATTTTAGAACGGACTTAATTTTAAATGAGTTCTTGCTAATTGACCAGTTTTACATATTCGGCACGACATATATATATATATATATATATATATAAGATCACAGTAAACAGGTGATTTCAAAATATGCAAAACAACCACTCTGAAAGAATAGAGAAATTCCAAGCGCTTTCGTGACTACTCACATTATCAAGGAACTATGAAAGTGAAGCATCCAAGGAAGCTATATAAGGGGTCGGCCAGCACCTCACTATCAGATCCCACAACGGTTAAACACGTGACGCGCGGCGAGCCAACTTGGATAGGTCCTTTGCAAAACTCACCCCCAAGCTATTTATTTGTCCAGTGTATTATTAAATTCTTCCCAAATTCTATTAATTATAAATGGATCTAATTTATATAAACCAAAGGAAATATTCATATTATTGTCAAAACTGCTTTTTATGAAACAAGATTCAATTATATTCCTGTCGACCATGGACTTGCTTGATACTACTTTCTCAACTTTTTGAAAATCAATTGGATGGTTAAAATCTCTTACATGAATAAATATATATATATATATTATATATATATATATATATATATATATAATATATATATATATAGTAAGTTGGTAGACAGCAACCACCCAGGGAGGTACTACCGTCCTGCCAAGTGAGTGTAAAACGAAAACCTGTAATTGTTTTACATGTCTCATAAATATGCAAGATTTCAGGTACATCTTGCTACTTCTACTTACACTCAGGTCACACTACACATACATGTACAAGCATATATATACTCACCCCTCCGGGTTTTCTTCTATTTTCTTTCTAGTTCTTGCTCTTGTTTATTTCCTCTTATCTCCATGGGGAGGTGGAACAGAATTCTTCCTCCGTAAGCCATGCGTGTTGTAAGAGGCGACTAAAATGCTGGAAGCAAGGGGCTAGTAACCCCTTCTCCTGTATAAATTACTAAATTTAAAAAGAGAAACTTTCGTTTTTCTTTTTGGGCCACCCCGCCTCGGTGGGATACGGCCGGTTTGTTGAAATTATATATATATTATATATATATATATATATATATATATATATATATATATATATATATTATATATATATATATATATATATATATATATATATATATATATTGATCAAAAGTATTCTTCCAGGTAGGTACGTTGATGATGGTGAAGGGCTCTTCACCCACGGAGATAGAGCAGCCCTCCCTTTCAGCGAGTCAAACCTAATTGCTTCCTATAATAATAATAATAATAATAATAATAATAATAATAATAATAATAATAATATAATAGTAATAACAGTAATAATAATAATAATAATAATAATAATAATAATAATAATAATAATAATAATAATAATAATAATAATGTCTAGATCTTTTGTAAGCATTAGGCTCACACATGAGAGATCTTGGGTTCGAACTTCAAGCAAGAAGAGACGAGTGGACAAGTCTCATTACACCAGCTGTTTCATTGTTATTAAATGGATATCAAAACGTAAATGTCGTACTGATGACAAGTTAAGAAATGGCACTCTGAAGAACAAGGAATACTGGGTGAGAGTTTCGCTCTTAACACAGCTTTAAGCTATTAGATGAGGCTCTCCACGGCGAAACGTTCCTTCACAACTGGATATCAAGACTACTAAGATGGACACTGGGTGCAAGGCTCAAAAAAAAGTTAGTGGAACATACCTCATCACATCTCTGGAGTAGGTTCTGATCCTCTAGCACGATAGCAGTTTCATACACAAAAGGAAAAGTCCCTTCGTCAACTTCATTAATTAGGTACTGAAAAATATAATCATGTGTCACAATTAACTGTTATTAGGTTCGCATGTGTAGTTTCAGTTTAATATGTATATTATGTACCTCATACCCATCCTGTGGGCGGTAGTCAAAAGATTACAGAGGTACATAATGGGTCCAGGGACTGGGACCCAATGTTTTGATAGCTGAACTAGTTACAAAGGTAATGAATTCCAGGTAAATCTGGTCACAATCATGACAAGTTACGAAGGTAATGAACCATCTACACTCCTATACATGGTTACAATCGTGTAGAAGTGTGCAGATTACACCACTGAGTAATCAGATTATTTCGTTGTGGTTTCCAGATTACATCGGTGTGTACTCATTTTCAGCTAGAGAGATACAACTTTTCTTTTGGCTCATCCTTAATCGGAAGAGATTTTATTGTTTTGTTTACTCGGAATAAAATTCTTACCTTAGAGCATATGTCACAAACTGCATCCATTTGATACTTGTGTGCCATGATATACACATGTATGGCCATCTCTACATCAGGTAGGATGACCTTCTCGCAATAAATGTACTCCAACAACCAGTCAAATGCTTCAGGAAGGTCATCTGAGAGGGTTAGTGTGCCTTCCGCAGCCATGGGTCCACACAACATCGCCTCGAACACAGGAGAACTCGCCGCCAGCAAAAACCGATGAGTCTGCAACAAGATTGGTTGCATCTCACTGATTTTGGAACCCGACAAGTCGATGAATAAGCCACTCGTGCAACATCTGGGTATTTGGGTACACAAATTTTACACAAGTGTCTCGTTCGTCGAGACTGGTTGTCTTAATGTTTTCTTAATCTCATGGTAAGATTATTTTTTTTTTATATTTTATTTAAAACAGTATTCCAAGATGCAATATAAAGATACGATGAAATGGTACATGTTATGACAGAACATTCAACACTAGTACTGCAACAGTCCACTGAGTGAACATACATACAATGTTACCTTAAGATAGCCTAACACAACCTACAATCTACCTAGAAACAGTGTTACATAATCACAAAGTTCTTCATAATACACTAATGCTAACACTCTGAGCTTGCTACCATCTGCAGCTCATAAGACTGCCATCCCCACGAGCCCCTTTGAGGCGGGGTAGATGGCAGACCAGAGGCCTAGCTTCTCCCTACGAGCCCCGTGAGGGCGGGGAATGTGGCTAGGCCTGGGGACACTTGGTCCCAAAGATGAGGAGGTACTATAACTCCTCCCATGGGAGACTTAGGTCTCGAGACACTCCCCAGATAGGGAGCCAAGGCCGGGTCACCACTACTTGGAAAAGACCCGGGCCGGGAGAATACCGGCGAATAGAAAAAAAAAAATGCTAACACTGACTTCCAACACCTCCACAACCCCCACCCGCCCCTCTACAAGTTGAAACCCTGACCACTCACGTGATGCAACACCATAACAATGTTTTCTTTTTTTTTTTTATATATATATTTTATTTAAAAAACACAATACACATCATACATGTATGCTATACTTAGGTTACATAAACAAAGAAACGTGATCCATTAAATAATAAAAACAAAACTCCACATTCCTTATCCCAACACTAAACTTATACTTAAGAAAAACACGTTCAACTGTAAATGCTTGATTCCCCCTCCAAAATGCCCAACCAGCACACACAACATACATGTAACTAAAACCAGCCCACACCTGAACATACAGGTGGGTTTATTATATCCATAAAACACAGCCAGTCTCTTATAACACAAAAGGCAATATTATCCTAAGAATGTCACACTTATTTACATTATATATGAAACTTTATATACAAAGACATTCTCATATAATCCAATTCGTTGCACACTCATTAGTATTGTATATTAAACTTTATACACGAAGACATAATTTTTTTTTTTTTTTTTTTTTTTTTAAAGCAACATACACATAAACCATAATAAGAAAAACACAAGCCGACAATTAGCAAATCAACAACCGTGGCAGACAATGTCAGTACACACACACACACAAAAAAAATACATTTTAACACATTGATATAACAAAATTCTACTGATATAAACCCAACCTATTTACGAAAAAAAACATACCGACTACTAATACAAAACGTCGGAGTCATTATAAAACATGTAGGAATAAGTCCTACAATCATATATATATATGTATATATATACGCATGCACATACACACCTACGCGTATGTGCACATGTGTTCGTACAGAACAAACTGGATTATACATAGATATAAAACTCTAAATGACTAGTCACCAAAAAACTAAAAAAAAAAAATTACATCCACTGATAGAACTATACCTAAGACATTGGTTCCCACTAACACACCTACACACACACACACAAAGTTAATGTTACCGATTAACACTCAATATATAATATAACTTTCCATACAAAATGAAGGGTATATATAAACCCCATAAAATACCTATATATTCTCGTGCATAGTCCATAATGTACCTCTTCAATACGATAAAAAAAAGAGACCTATGACAAGGATAAAGCTATCATCAGATTCGAATTTATAAACTTATCCTCACATATACATATGAATATAAACCCCCTATATAAAATGTTTCTTATAACAATAAAAGAAAAAACAAAATCACATACAACTTTAAACTCTGTGGTTTTACAAAAATCATAAGGTCTACATACCCTGGAGCCCCCGACGGCTCCCTGCAAATAAACTTTACCCACATCAAAACACCTTGCAAACCAGTCAACCATTCCTCATCAGGCATCCAAGCACTCCAAGAGGGCACACCACTGAAGAGACCAACCCCTTGTCTCTCACCCCGTCACCAAGCGGAGTAAACGTTCAACAGTAAATCCACGATATCCCTCCGGAAAACTAGTTACCCACCGTCCCCCATATAATTGTTTGTTCCTACATGCTGTCCTATAAAAACATGCCGCTAACGCTTTTATCCTAATGTTTCCCTCCACCTCCCTCATCCCCCAAGAAACATACAAGTAATCAACTATTACGTATCTGATAGCCCTCCCCACCTCGTTGGGCACCCCTCCCATATCTAACATTAAAGCCCTTAGGGGTGATATCTGACCCCCCCCCCAATAAAAGGAAAACCCTCTTCAACCACAATCTTACCACCTCCAAATCTGAACAAAAATATACTACATGGAAAGCAGTTTCAACTTCCCCACAAAAACCGCATGACGCCTCTCTCACAAAACCCATTCGTCTTAGCACCTCTTTCGATGCTAACGTCCCCATAAGAAATCTATATACTAATTCCCTCACTCTTGCCTGTATTTTTAGTTTACTAAATTCCACCCAATCACCTCTCCAATCATATGTGGGATACACGGCCATCCCTGCATTGATTCCTGACGACGACCCACACCACCAACCGTTTTACCTTGAGTTTTTAACATTGCGAACCTTTAACATAAACCTCAACATATCTTCACACTCCACTAAGTCCCTGCCACCCCACCATTTGTGGATATACCCCATCACCTCCCCACCCGAAGACCCCTTTCCCCGCTGCCCGAATATACTCTGCTTCACATATAGCGCCTTCACCCTAGATCCTAATGCCATCAATCCAATCCTCCCTGTCTTACCGCAGTCATTACCACATCTTTGCCCAACCACGCCCTCCCGAAACCCCACACATACCTTAAGACTCTTCTTTGTAATTTCATAATATCCTGACTTCGTAAGGATAAATTTCCGCCACTCCCCACACCTTACTATAAATCAGCGTATTTACCACCACAACCCTTTGTTGCAAGGTTACATTCCCGCCCTTAGACTCCTGAGCCTACTCAAAGCTCTGTCCATTACCATTTCTGAATTAACCCTCCTGCTCTCCTGTGCATCTGCCAAATACAAAATCCCACAAATCTTTAGCCTTTCTACAGTTATCCAGCCAAACTCCTCCCCCAAGGTCCCGCCTACCCAAGCGCCTACCTCCAGCAATCGTGATTTCTGCTTATTAACTCTCATCCCAGTAGCATTCCCAAAAATCTCAATTACCCTTCCCACTTTACTTAAATCTTCTATCTCATTAAGTAAAACAGTTGTATCATCTACATAACCAACAATATTCCCACAAAATCCACCTTTCTCCCCCATCCTTCCCATCCCACCATCAACCAGAACATAGAAAGGATTCTGCATACATGCAAAGAGTATTTGGGAGAGTGGACACCCCTGCCTTAAACCCCTCCCCATGCTTTCAGGCCTACCCAACCTACCATTTACCTGTACTCTCATCGATGCATCCGCATACAATGTCCTCACCCATCCCACCACCCTCCCTCCAAAACCCATTCTCACCATACTCTCAATCAAAAATTCCCTATCCACATAATCATAAGCTTTCTCCCAATCCAGACCTAGAATACCTCCCTTACTACTACCCTCGAGGAAATCCCTAATACGTCCATGACCTACCCGCATACTCCTCCTCGGGATACCAAACTGTCCCCATGTATCACCGACCCCATGACCTTCTTCAGTCTATTACCCAAAATTTTCGCAAAAACCTTGTAATCTGCGCACATCAGAGATATTGCTCGGTAAGCACTCAACTCTCTTCCCCCCTCTGCTTTGGCACCAAAACTAAGACACCCGTACTTTGTGATGTGCCCAACTTCCCACTAGTTAACATATGATCCAATACCCTAACAAAGCACTGCCTAATACACCCCCAATGTGCTCTATAAAAATCATTTGGTATACCGTCTATCCCTGGTGTTTTCCCGGTACTCATCCCGAAAACTGCCTCTTCCACCTCAACCTCACTTATACCAACCTCCAACCCCACTCTATCCTGCTCACTTAAAGCACTATGGAACCCCCCTTCAAAAATACCCTCCCAGGAACCCCCCTCCCTCCAACTCCATTTCTCCCTAAACTATCAGCATAGAGACTCATACTTTCCGTGTTGGATAAGACACGACCCTCTGGATACCCTCCCACCCCAGGGCTTGTCTCCAATTGTAGAATGGTGGTTACTCTCTGTCTGTCCCTAAATTTACGTAAAACAAACCCGGACGGCTTATCACCCCACAATACATCCTCTAACCCCGCCCTAACCCTAATTGCATCAAACCTATCATTGTGTAATTCAGCTATTCTACTCCGCAGACTGTCCATATCATCCCCCCTACCACCTCCCCCAACATAACAGTCTTGCACCTGTCCCTCCAGATAATTTTGCAACCCAAAACGCCACCTCGCCTCTTCTCGTCCCCTAACCTTAAAAAAATTTGCTATTTCAGGTTTGGCCTGCATTTACCACATATCTAACAGATCTATCTCCCTGTCCCTAGCCTCCCATAAATGCAACCACCAATCACTGAAAAAAGGCCCCTCCCCCTCCTCCTTAAGAAGCCTTACATTTAATTTCCAGTACCCAGAATAAATACGCACCACTCCATCCCACATTAAATCTGCTATTACCGCCCTGTGATCCGAAAACCCCACATCGAAGGTTTGCACCCTCACAACATCTATACCCTGCTTAATATAAATTCTGTCCAATCGCGCTTCATATCCCCTACGGACGAACGTGTGCTCCACTAGGTATTCCCCCCTCCCCACCACATCAACTACTCCAATATCTCGCAATACATCCCTCAGAACACTCAACACACAACCCGCCCCTCTCGGTTCGACATCACTCCGATCCACACAATTCCAATCACCTCCTATTACTGTTATAGCAGGCAAACCTCTCAAGTGATACAGCAACACCTCCCTGACAAAATCTACTTTTACCCTGGTATTACTAGTTGCTGGCATGTAAACTCCTAGGAATTTGTAGATGAATGGTTCAGAGAACCGACATGTTGATAAATTAGACACATGTGCAACTCTTGGGTATCTTTATTGAGGAAACGTTTCGCCACACAGTGGCTTCATCAGTTTATAAGCGGTTTATAAGCTGCTTCTCCGCTCATCTGCCGTATTCTACTCAAGATTGATGGACTGAACACATCGACTCAAGGTTGAGGGACTGATTACCTCATTCTCCTCCTGTTCTTCAAGTTTCTCCTATGTATGGACTGATGAAGCCACTGTGTGGCGAAACGTTTCCTCAATAAAGATACCCAAGAGTTGCACATGTGTCTAATTTATCATTAAACTCCTAGGAAACTAGCTCGACTCTCACCCCAGACACCATCCACCCTCACGACCCTCCCCCCCCCTCTTCCCAACCGATGACACGCAAGGGGCTGGTCTCCTTTACCGCCACTGCTACCCCCTTTCAATTGCAAACACTGGTAACATACATCCGATATCCTTTCACCCGCAACACACATCCAGCCCTGTGATTATGCTCTTGCAAAAAGCATATGTCGACATCAAACCGCCTTAAAAACCACTCCAACCAAACTTTCTTGACCTCAGTCTTAAGTCCATTAACATTAAGCGTGACACATCTGAATATTATAGAAGGGGCGGCTTTCCCCTATGCCGCTGGGATTTACTCACTGCACTTTTCACATTACGTGTTCCCTTACCACTCGAGTTTTCCTGTGCAGTCACCTCCCCCCTCCCTTTCCCACTGTGCAACTCAGGCGCACCTCTACCACTATGTGGCATCGGTTCCACCACCGCTGCCCATGACTTCTTCCCCGGCCTCTGCCCCCGGGTAATGACCTCGTCTATCTCTGATGCCGCAGTTCTTTTCCTAGAACTTCCACTTACACACATATCACCATCAGGCGAATCCTCCTGGTGTACCTCCACGGCCACCACACGCTCCAGCCCTTTCTTACTCAAGTCTTCCTCCACGATTTGTTGTCCCTCCAGCGCTCCGGCTTCACATAAACTGAGGACACCTTCTGCACAGGGCTCCTGCCCATCCAAAAAATCCTTGATCACATCTGCCAATAAACCATCCTGGGTCGAAGCTTCCTGAACTAAAGACTCCTCAGATGTCACCTTCGACTCCCCCGACGCCCCTGGGAGAGTGACACACGTCTCCGCTGCCGTCACCTCCCGTTCGACCTCCTCGCTCCAGAGGTCAGTCCTCCGGCCTCCCGAGGCACCAGAGCCAGGCACCAAATCACACGGCTGTTGAATCACAATTGGAGTTTCCAGAACTCGAGGAGCCTGCCTCCTAGGACACTGGGCTGCCATGTGCTCATAAGAGCTACACAGACGACATGTTTTCCTCTGATCAGCATAGTACACATAAACTTGTGTTCTATAACCGGTCATCGTAACATAGGATGGTATAGGCCTTGTTAAAGACATTTTAAGGGTGTAAGAACCTTCCGGCATCCCTTCATACGGACCATCCCTCCACACCCCCATGGTTGCAGAATGCACTGTCCCAAAACTGCTAAAAAACTCCTGTAGGCCATATGCCGTGGCCTCGAAGGGTACATTTCGTACCTTCACCCATGTGAAGTACTTAGAGACGTCATGTAACACGACATCCATCGCTGAATTCACACTCATGCGTTGTTCCTGGTAATGCTCGACAATTCTTGTGTAGAAGCCGGCTCGTAGAAATTTCACGAAGATTCTTGTCAAACCATTAAGAGCGACGCCATACAATTCCCCATTGGGAATACCATATGTATCCCTGATGATGTTAGGGAGAAGGACGTTCATCGTATATCCACTTAACGTACCACGAACCAGCTCAATGCAGATAGTATTTACTCTCCGTCCTGTACGTTCCGCCATTTTGATATCTCAAAATGAGCAGCGCACGTCCTCACTACTCAATGGTTGTTGATGGACTGAGGTAGCTCGCCTGAAAACAGCAGAGGGGTGCAGAGCACAACCACACTCCACCGTGGTCAGGCAGCGAATGGATTATTTTGTTACAAGAAATCGGTATGTATCTCAACCCATCTCAGTAACTCTCATAAGTATCTAAATTAATTTCTGACTTGCTGTTTGCAGCAAATTTATCGGTCAGATTAGGTTAGGCTATGTCAGATTATATTAGATTAGATTTAGGTTAGGCTATGTTAGGTTAAATTAGATTAGCTTAGGCTAGGTTAGGGTTGCTGGTAAACTCTCAAGAGGTGACTGAAAATACACAGGCCAACTTAAAAGATATATGCAATTATAAATCATCAAAAGGCATGACAGTCTCTGGGCAGATGAAAATACTGTAGAGCTCAACAAACCATACCACGGGCGGGTAGAACCCTCGATCAGTCTCAAAACTCCAGACCGTCGCGTTAGCCACTAGACTCTCTGATCGCGGGTTCCATCCCCACCCGTGGTATGGTTTGTTTGCAATCGTGTCATTACGATTTCGTGAATCTTGTAGAGCTCAGTTAAACCTCATAACTCTACAGAGAGAAACGTTGCCACAATAGACATAGGCTCTAATGTCTACGGTTGTTTGATCTACCTTTGTGAAAACAACTCCGAGTACAGTAGGCGAATAAGACTCACGAAATCGTAATGACACGACTGCAAACAAACCATACCACGGGTAGGGTTTGAACCCGCGATCAGAGTCTCAAAACTCCACACCTAACGCGACGGTCTGGAGTTTTGAGACTCTGATCGCGGGTTCAAACCCCACCCGTGGTATGGTATGGTGAATAAGACACATGTGCAATACTGAGGTACCTTTATTGCCGAAACGTTTCGGGCGAAACGTTTCTGCAATAAAGATACGTAAGTGTCTTATTCATCAGCTTGTCGATATTGCATACCATTAATATGAAATTCGAGTAAGCTTACCTGCACTACTCTCTCGTGCCCAGAGAAGGCAACAGATAGGTCAGTCAGATGGCCCGAGTCCTTCAGATGTGCTATACGTTCCCTTGTGTTGGTCAGACGACACTGCCATCGTTTATTTAAACTGCTGGTCGACGACATTGCCACTGGAAAACCCACAAAATGTTAGATATGGTTGGATTTGGAACTCTTGCTAGTTAAACATACTGTAAATTATATCAGGCTGCCGCGAAGTGGTGAGTGATCAATATAGAAGGGGCCAGGAAGTGGGCTCAACTCATATCAGCTATATATACCAGCGTATAGACATGCACACATTCATTCAAAACACACACACACACACACACACATACGTGATGTAGTGGAAGCAGGATCCATACATACCTTTAAGAACAGGTACGATAAAGCTCATGGAGCAGGAAGAGTGACCTAGAAGCGGCCAGTGAAGAGGCGGGGCCAGTGACTCGACCCCTGCAACCACAACTAGTTGAGTACACACACACACACATTCAACACACTCAAAAACAGACAAAAATCCACGAAAATGTACACGGATACCACTAGATACTACATACCAGTCCTTAAAAATTATTATAATTGTAATTTTATTTAAAGTGGTGGACTGGTAAGCCAGTGGAAGGCCTCGATCAGATGACCAAAGCTCCAGTGGCGGGTCATCATATAACTAAAACAGTCGTTAGGAAACACTTACCCTCTTTCCTGACCTACTTTTACAAGGCGTATTTGCAGTGATATAAAAAGGTAGAATATGTAGTGACAGCGCCTACGCACGGTATACGTGTGTACTGAGTTACTTCTCTGTTTTGACGACCATTTTATAGAACCTCGGTCAGTGTAGCCAACCACACCATGACGCTTTCATAGGAATTTCTGACTACAATTGCATTTTGCATGCCTTTGGAGGTTTGTTTTTCCTTATTCCACATTTTTTAGTATTAATGCTGTTATTGCTCTTTCTTTTGGATGCATAATAAAGAATGAGCAAGTGTTCTTTATTGAGATTTTAATATGCTGTCAGTAGGTACGTTGTTCTTGCGTTTCAAATGAGTTCATTACTGATTTAAGATGAGTTTTGTAGCTAGGAATAAAGGGGAAAGGAGGGTGTCTGGATAAATATCTGCTTACTACTTGTCTGACAACCTACCAACTGTGTCTCATAGCTCGATTGATAAAGCACTCATCATCTCCCACACTGAGGTCTGTACTTCGATCCCTGGTATGGGTAGAAACATTAGGAAGTGTTTCTTTAAAACACCTGCTGTCCCTGTTCACCTAGAAGTAAAATGGGTGACACTGTCCAACGCTTTACGTTTCTGCCTTGGTTCCTAACTGTTGATAGTCTCTCAACACTGCATAGCTCCTGACGACGCACAAGTAGTGCGAAAGATCCTGAGCTAAAGACTTCTATCCCCTTGTAGCTTGTTCTGCATTGTTAAGATCGTCTGTTTGCGATTGTATTGTATATATATATATATATATATATATATATATATATATATATATATATATATATATATATTATATATGTATATATAGTATATATATATATATATATGTATATGTATATATATGTATATGTATGTATATGTATGTATATGTATGCATATGTATGTATATGTATGTTATATGTATGAATATGTGTATGTATGTGTATGTATATGTATGTGTATGTATGTGTATGTGTATGTATGTGTATGTATGTGTATGTGTATGTATGTGTATGTATATGTATGTGTATGTATGTGTATGTATGTGTATGTATGTGTATGTATGTGTATGTATATGTATATATAATGTATATATATATGTCGTGCCGAATAGGCAGAATTTGCGATCTTGGCTTAAATAGCAACGCTCATCTTGCCATATAGGACAAGTGAAAATTCAAAAATCATTCTAAACTTAACGAAAAAAATATATTTCATTGTGTTTGTTTAGTATTAAATTGCTGTAAAAGTATTTAAAATATATTTAGTTGGGTTAGGCTAAAATAAATTGCGCTTGTTATAATAAGGTTAGGTAAGTTTTCTAAGATTCTTTTGGTGCAAAATTAAAATTTTTTACATTAACATTAATGACAAAAATATATCTTTAAATGTATAAGAGAAATTTTTAGAAAGGACTTAATTTTAAATGAGTTCTTGCTAATTGACCAGTTTTACATATTAGGCACGACATATATATATATATATATATATATATATATATATATATATATATATATATATATATATGCATGTGTTTGTGTGTGTGTATAAAACTGATCTCATTTCTTCTTGTTACTTGTCGATTTTATCATAGTCATGGGGAATGGGAAGAAATCAGGTTTGATCCGAGGTAAAGGAAAGTAGCTCCTGTTCTTTGGAAACTCAAATTTCACGAGGAAGCATAAGCATGGCTAAACTCGTAGGGTTTATTTAGAGCCAGGAGGAACAACGGAGGGGCAGTCGATCCAGCGAGGGAATAGGTAGCTCCAGTTCCCCTGGATCAAGAGCCCTTCAGCCTTGAGGGAGTCACGCACATGGCTGTGGTTGTCAGGGGAGACTTCACAACACTCACAACACACTCTCTACCGCAAACTCTACCACACTATCTACCACACTCTCTACCAGAAAACAATATGAAGTTCAACGATGAGAAATTTCAATTACTCAGATATGGTAAACACGAGGAAATTAAATCTTCATCAGAGTACAAAACAAATTCTGGCCACAAAATAGAGCGAAACACCAACGTCAAAGACCTGGGAGTGATCATGTCGGAGGATCTCACCTTCAAGGACCATAACATTGTATCAATCGCATCTGCTAGAAAAAATGACAGGATGGATAATGAGAACCTTCAAAACTAGGGAGGCCAAGCCCATGATGACACTCTTCAGGTCACTTGTTTTTATCTAGGCTGGAATATTGCTGCACACTAACAGCACCTTTGAAGGCAGGTGAAATTGCTGACCTAGAAAATGTACAGAGAACCTTCACGGCGCGCATAACGGAGATAAAACACCTCAATTACTGGGAGCGCTTGAGGTTCCTAAACCTGTATTCCCTGGAACGCAGGCGGGAGAGATACATGATTATATACACCTGGAAAATCCTAGAGGGACTAGTACCGAACTTGCACACGAAAATCACTCACTACGAAAGCAAAAGACTTGGCAGACGATGCAACATCCCCCAATGAAAAGCAGGGGTGTCACTAGCACGTTAAGAGACCATACAATAAGTGTCAGGGGCCCGAGACTGTTCAACTGCCTCCCAGCACACATAAGGGGGATTACCAACAGACCCCTGGCAGTCTTCAAGCTGGCACTGGACAAGCACCTAAAGTCAGTTCCTGATCAGCCGGGCTGTGGCTCGTACGTTGGTTTGCGTGCAGCCAGCAGCAACAGCCTGGTTGATCAGGCTCTGATCCACCAGGAGGCCTGGTCACAGACCGGGCTGCGGGGGCGTTGACCCCCGGAACTCTCTCCAGGTAAACTCCAGGTAAACCACACTACCACACTATCACACTATCTACCACACTCTACTACACTCTCTACACACTATCACACTATCTACCACACTATCTACCACACTCTCTACTACACTATCACCACATTACTCTACCACACCTACCTACACACCCTACCACAACTCCCACACCTCACCACACTATCCCCACACTACCACACTCTCTACCACCCTCTACACCACACACAATCTAACCACACTCTACCACAAAATCTACACACTCCCTACCACCTCTACATTTTTCCAACCAACTACCACCCCTTCTCCACCTTCACCACCCCTCAAACCCACTCTCTACCCACTCTACCAACCCTCCAAATCTAACCCCACTACCACAAAAACACCACCCCCTACCACCTCCAAAACCACACTTCTACACATTCTACCACACTCCTACCACACTACACACTCTCACCCAACCCCTACTACCAAACCTCCTACCAATACCACTCTCAAACCACATTTCCTCCACCCTCTCCCCTTTTCTACTAACACTCTTCCACACATCACCAAAACCCCTACCACCCCCTTCTACCACCTCTCACCACACTCTCCCCTTTTCTACCAACTACACCCCCACCTCTACCACACTATCTCCCACTTCTACCACCCACCTCTACCAATTTCACCCCCACTCTACCCAATTTCCCTCCCACACCCCTCCCAAAACCCCCTACCACACCCTACCACCCCACACTCCCCCAACCACCCCCTTCTACCACACCTCACCCACTCACCACACATCACCACATTTCCTACCACACTTCACCACACTCACCAACCTCTCCCACACTCTCACCACACTCCTCCCACACTCCCACCTCTCCCAAACCCCCTTCTACCACACTTTTACCAAACTTAAAAAAATTTTTACCCCAAAATTCCAAATCCTTTCCAATTTTTCCAATTAAATTCTAAAAACCTACCCCCTCTTCCCCAAATACCACACCCCCCCCCCCCTTTAAACCAGGAAAAGGTTTTACCTTTATAACCCCCCTGTTCTCCTCCCAAACCCCGTGGGGCCAACCCCTTTCTACCAAAATTTATCCCCCTCCGGCCTTTGAAGTTTTGGCCGGGGCTTTTTAACCCCCTTTTACTGAGGCTTAACACCCAAACCCCACACTTTTTTTTGCTTTCCCCGGCAGTCCCCCTTTTTTAAAGGGGGTGTCATGTTAATCCCCTTTGTTTGAAACGTTGAAATTTGAACCCTAATTTTTTTTAACTTATTTCCCCCCCTTTTTTTCCAAGTACATTCAAATTCCTTATAATTATTTTATTTGTTACGCCCCCAGGTTTCGTAATTTTTCTGTACTTTCCCCCCCCCTTGGGGGTTTAAAGGTCACAAACCACCAATAGAAAAACCCAAATCCCAAAAAGGGTTCTCCCATTTTATTTCCTTTTTTCCCACCTGCTTTTTAAGTGCTTGTACAATTTTTGCCAAAAAGGGAAATTCCCCGAAATCCCCCAGCTTACTTTTTTTTTTATCTTTTTTTCTGATTTTTCTACTTTGGAATTTTATTTCCTTTTTTTTAATTTCCCGAATTTTTTAAACCATCTTAAAAGCTATTTTTTTTTCCCCCCCCAAAAATTTTTATCCGGGGATTTTTTCCAATGAAACTTTTATAAATTCCCGGGTTTTTTTTTTGGAAGCCCCAAAAAATTGGGAATCCGCTACTTGGGTGCGATGGGAACTGTCGGGCAGACTTTTCACCCCCCCCAAAGACACTCTTTGCACTCCTTGTTTTGTTTTAAGAATTAACCAAAAACTTTTCTGTTTTTTTAACCTTTTTCCTAACCCATGACACTTTGGTTTTTTAAACTTTATTTCATCTCATTTTTTTTTCTTACAGATTGTCCTAACCCGGGAGGGAAACAAAAGGCCCTTTTAAAACCCCATTTCCTTTTTTTTTTTTTTTATCTAGGGGTGCGATTTCTTCACCCCCCAAAAAAGAATTTAATTTTTGCTTTTTATTTTTATTTTTTATGCCCCTTTTTTGGGGGGTTTT